AAACACAGAACTAATTAAGCTTATGGTTTTCTTTGGCTAACCACAGATCTGACCCTTTACTGATCAGACATATTTTGGTTTTCTACGAGATTTAATCGCGAAGGCTTAAAGTGTTCTTCTCTATAGCAGGAGATCCATGACTTCGCAATTTGCTGGTCCAAACTGGTCTTAAAGCAGATTCCAAAATGCCGCCTAAAGGAGGCTGGTTCATTATCAGAGAAGCTAAACCCGGAAGATACAGATCTAGCACCCCTAGTGGCAACCAAGAACCATTGCAGCTCCAAAGGGGGTGTTGTAGCTCGAGCATTTCTGTGCGTGAAGAAGCAGAAGTTAGTTTGTTGTTAACAGAATGAAAGGGCAGACTGTAGTTGGAAATTTTTAATTTCTCTTATTTCATATAAGAGAAATCTAGTGAGGAAATTTAGTGAGAAACAAGCCAGTTTCTTTCCCTAGGTTTATTCATAAAATGTTACTGTTTAACCAAAGTGTCTGTAATTAGTTTTGACTCTGAATGCTTTTCATTATTGGAAGTAAGGGGAACGAACGCATAGATCAGAACAGGGCTGATTACCGTGCAATAAGGGCCTTATTATGAAATATTCTCTCTTTGCAAAGATAGATTAAAGTGCCGATTGAGTGAAATCCATCAACCTGTTTATTTGACTTGAGTGAATAGCTGAAAGCTTTTTTTTCCCCACGAAACAGACGGATGGACATTTGTGTGAATTTTTAGATTTATCGCCTTTAGCTTGATTCAAAAACCCTCGTCTTTAGGTGGAAGTGAGGAAGTACGTTAGGCGACTCGCTTAGATAACTTCTTTCCACGATCAGCACATTTTTATGTCTAGTTGTTGTAGCTTCAGTTCAAGCGCTTAGCCTCTTCACATCGGATACAGCTGAAGTCTACAGCAAAACTAGCAGGAAATTATGAGGAAAAAAAGGAGTAGCCCACCCTGACATCTTGAATAAGGTGTCGGCATTTTACGTTGGCAGCCAGTATAGGGATCCCCATTTTCTCTCTTTCTCTCACACGTCTGCAGGTCATTATTATATTGTGATGGGGATATATTCATGGGATCTTGTGGGGCCTTTCTGCCTGCTCAGCACTTCACAGAACCTTTCCGGGCCCAACTAATGGTTTTGATGTTTTTTTGCAGTAACATATTAATAATCTGCTATGAGTGTCTCTATAGAGTTGCTGCTTTGATTTGAGAGATTGAAGCTAAACTCTCTCCAGGGTCACAGTCTCTGCTCTTTTCTTTTGCTTCACTGAGATCAGAATAAAACTATAAATCAGGATGCAGCATGTTTGGATCGCATCCCAGGAACCCGTCTGTCTGCAGTGATTTTTCACTTTGCTAACCCTGTTCTTTATTTGAAGCAAGAAGATCACAGTTGCTTAAACAGCTAGACATTTACTATTCACCAAGAAAGCTCAAAAGTCCTGTACCAACGTATAATCAAAGTTAATAAAATTCCTACAATATGACATTTTAGAAATCATTTAAAAAGATGTGCATCTTTTTTGGAGTTACAAGCTCAGTAGATAAAATTGTAGATTTAACCAGCATAATATCTTCATATTTCTTGCCTCTTTCAGCTCCTCTCTCCTTGCCTCCTTTATTTATTTATGATCGACTGTCAAATGTTTAAGAAGACAAACACACCAAAAGGCTTAATCATTGTTATAAATTGGGTAAACAACTACAAGTAACAAGCTAGTAACTAGTTCTGAACACAAACTAAAGGTACCCAGTTTATTCTTACAAATTTAACTTTTGATAAAGCTTTGACATGTACTGTAGCAAATTACGAAGAGTTATTAATTTATTTTTAAATCATCCTTTTTCTCTTTTTTTTCTGTCATATCCCCCTGCTCTATTCTTGATTTACTTTTTCTTCTTTTAAAGAAAAAGTCCGGTCATATTCAGAATTCAAACTTCGGAAAGTACTTTAAATATGAAATTATTCCATAGTGCTCAATAAATGTTTTTTGTGACGTCACGGTGCGGTATCGGCTGTTGATCAAGTCCCAGTGCTGTATCTGGTGTTTGTCACAACGCGCTATTATCCAAGTCATCTTGAAAACATT